GGGGGGGGGGGGGGGGAGGGGCGCCGTGTGTGCAAGTATGTTCGCGCCAAGTCGCGTGGTTTGTGCGTGTACGTAGACGCACACGTTCGCGTCCGGTCGCGCTGTGCGTAAATGGGTGATGGCGTGTGCGCATCCGGGCCGGGGCGTAAAAACAGCAGGCTCGGACCCGGGGCACTTGCACCCTGCCCCCGTCTCCGTGTTGAAGCCGTGGGCCGGGGGGGGGGGGACGGGCGGCGGCGGGGTGCCGTGGCGTGCGCAGATCCCACCCGGGGGGAGAATCTATATAAGGCCCCAGCTCGGGCGCCTTGCTGGCCAGGTTCGGTCAAAGATATCTACGAGTAACTCACCCTTGAACAGTTTGTTCTATCTACACATTAGCAAATACAAGGTGCCTATTCCTCTCCCCTCAGTCTGTCCTCGCTCCCCCCCCCCCTCCGCGTGCTCGTGCCCTTCCTCCCTCCCCCCCTTGTGGGTTGTTGGTCCTCGTTCTGACTCCTGCCTCGCGCCGCCCCCGGTGCGCCTTTTGTGTGCACCTTTTGCAGATCAATGATCGGAAAGACCCCCCAACCGAAGGCCCTTTTCAATCAGACCCTCCAGGAGCTGACCCAGACTCGGGCCCCGGTGCCGGCCTTTGAGCCGGGCTGCGCGACGCAGTCCGGCGCGTGCGACGCCGCCGCCGGGACCTTCGCCGCGCGCAATGCCGGCAGCTCATCATCCTGGTCTTCATCATCGCCGCCTCGCTACACCGCCGCCGGCGGTGGCGCGTCGCAGCGCCAGCAGCAGTCCGGCGGCCTCCTGCCGTCGGATGATGGCTGGGCGACCAAGAACTTCGTCGCCGGCCCCGACAGCCCGACCGGCTTCACCAACCAGCGGATTGTCTACTCGCCGGCGTCCTCCACCCGGAGCCACTTCCCTCCGAAGAGCGAGCAGCAGCTGGGCGGCAGCCAGTTCGCGGGGTCCGCTCGGGCGCAGACATTCGCCGCGCCGCTGGCCGAGCCGCTGGCTGGCGGCGCCCCGCGGGCCCAGTACCGTCCCTTTGCCTCGCCTCGGGGCGGGGCCGGCTACCAGCAGCAGTCGTCTTTCGGTGCCTGCAGCAGTAGCTGCAGCTCCGACGCTCTGAGCTGCTCCTCGAGCCTGAACTGCAGCGGCGGCGGCGCCAATGCCATGGGCAGCTGCTCCACCTCGTCGGGCTTCTGCGCGCGTAATGTCAACTCGCACCAGCAGTACTCGGTGGAGAAGTCCGGCAGCGGCGGCGGGGCCGGCGCCTTCGCGAGCAGCCGCAAGAGCGCCATGTGTGACATGGCCCTCTCGGGAGGCGCCACTTGCGCCGGGTCCTCCTGCATGCGCCCGGGCCAGTGCAGCTTCGGCCTGGCCCAGCAGCAGGGCGGCATGCGGCAGAGCTTCGGCCTGGGCGCCGAGCAGCCGATGCTGTCTCGCCAGGATGACTGGATCGGCGGCAGCGGATCGGGCTCTGCCATGCGCATGAGCCAGACCGGCGGCGGCGGCGGCGGCGGCGGCGGCGGCTTCACCACCACCGGCAGCCCGGGCAGCCCGACCACCACCACCTTCCAGGTGGCCGGCTCGCGCGGTGGCAGCCCCACCGCCACCAGCCGCGGCTTCTCGACGTCGACGTCCGGCAAGTTCTCGCGCTCGCAGCAGCAGTCCGGCGGGCTGAGGGGCGGCAGCGGCGGCGGCACCCATGCCAGCCTCTTCTCGCAGCGAGGCGGCTCCGGCGGCTACCGTGAGGAGTACTACAATGCGGCCCCCTCGCCGCGGATGACCGGCGGCCAGCTGAGCCCCGGCGGCTCGCCGGTGGCCGGGTACATGTCCTTCGAGGAGGCCGTGGCGCGGTCGCCGCGCGGGAGCGGCGGAGCCAACCGCCACCTGGAGCCGCTGCACGCCGGCGGCCAGTTCACCAGCCAGGGCTTCTCGTCCTCCTCCTACTCGGGTGGGGGCTTCCCGCGCGGCGGCGGCGGCCTGAAGGGCGGCAGCGGCCGGTCCGGGGGCTTCCAGCAGCAGAAGTGGGCCTCCACCGGGGCCGACTGCGGCGGCGACAGCAGCGGCCAGTACTGCGCCAGCAATGCGGCCAGCTGGTCCTCGGCCGCCGCCCCCGGTGGCGGGTCATTCTCCGGCAGCCCGACCGCCGCCGGCACCATGTCCTGCGCCAAGCTGCCCAGCGGCAAGTGGGGCAGCCCCGGGTGCAACAACGCCGATCCGGCGTGCACGACCAATCGCCGGGTGCAAACCACCGGCATGACCCCCGCCTGCACCAATGGCAGCGGCCGGGGCCAGGCCTTTGCCGAGCCCCTCCTGTCGGCCACCACCCGGGAGGACTGGCATGCCGGGCAGGCGTTCTCCACCTCCGATAGCTGGGCCCAGCAGCAGCAGGCGTCCGCGCCGCTGGCCGGTGGCAGCGGCTTCGGCAGCCACCGCATGATCAAGCAGCAGCAGCAGCAGCAGCAGCAGCACTTTGGCGGGGCCGACCAGTTCCTGGAGACCCCCTTCGAGCGGCTGGGCCTGCACTCGGGCGGGTCGTCGCCACGCTTCGCCGGTCGGGACATGCTGTCCCCCCGGGCTGGCGGTGAGGCGGCGGCCCCGCTCAATGCCTGGTCCGGCAGCGGGAGCACGCGCGTGTTCAAGGGCAACACCAACACCAGCTGGAGCCCGCTGAGCCGCGGCGGCGGCAACACCGCCAACTACGGCGCCACCGGCGGCAGTGCCCCGATGATGACCGGCAGCAGCGCCGGCGACTATGGCTACCTGATGATGGGCGACCCGCTGCAGCACCAGTTCAAGGAGCAGATGCAACAGCAGCTCCTGAGCCGGCCGCCGGCCCAGTTTGCCGGCGGCAGCCGCTGGTCACCGCGCGGCGGGGCTCTCGGCGGCGGCAGCAGCAGCAGCCGCGCGGCCTATCTCGCCCCGGCGGCCGTCGCCGCTCCCCTGAGTGCCAGCAGCAGCAGCAGCAGCAGCAGCAGCAGCAGCAGCAACCTCGGCTCGACGTCGAGCTTCAGCGACTTCTCCGCGTCCTCGACCTCCGGGCTGAACCAGCACCGTTGGGCCGGCGGCCCGACCCAGCGCTTCTACAACTCGCCATACGCCGCGGCCAGCCCTGGGTCCTTCAACCTGCGCGGCGGCGGCGGGCCCGGGCAGTTCTTCCAGCAGCAGGGCCCCTTCCTTGGCCAGGGCGGTGGCAGCAGTGGCCACGCCATGGCCGGGGCCCTCTCCCCGAGCGGCTTCTCGGCCCGCGGCGGCGGGTATGTCCCGTACCAGCAGTTCCGCCACCCGGCGGCGGGGCTCGATGCGGCCGGGGACCTTTCCCCGACGCTGGAGCTCTGGCGTGGCCCGGGCTCCGGGGCCATGGGGCCCATTCACCAACAGCAGCAGCTTGGCGGCCGGACCTTCTTCCACAGTGAGAGTCGCTACCAGCCCCTGTCCATGGGCGCGCAGCAGCAGCAGCAGCAGCAGCAGCAGCTCCCGATGATGGCGGGTGGCCGCAGTGGCGCCGGCTTTTCCTCGGCCCCCGGCAGCCCGAGCAGCATGCGCTGGACCTTCAAGCCCGAGCGCGGCGCCCGGTTCCTCGAGGAGGGCCTCATTTAGGGGGCCCCGGAGAATCTGAGCGCCAGCCCGCGCATTGTGGGCGCCCAGCCGTTCCGCTTCTGAGCGGCGGCGAGAGCGCATCACGCGCCGGCGCGCATGTGTGCGCAAAAGCCATGCATGCCGCCGGCGGAGCAGAAGGGGCGCGGTAGATAAGGGCATGTGAGGGGGGCCCTGTGTTCTGACACGGGGCAGTCTCCCCGCCCCCCCCCCCCCCTCTCGCTGATATTCCCCCTCTGCCTTGGGTGTGTACCTTGGCCCACGGCAGGGGGAGAGGACATCGTCTGTTGGTGATTCTCCCCTGGCGTGGGGGTAGCGCCCTTGCTTTCAGGCGGAAGCGCCTGCACACACACACACACACATACACACACACACACGCTCTCTCCGGTCCACCTCCAGGTGGGCATGTGTATGTCCGCGTGTGCGTGTGTAAAAGTGTGTATGTGCCTGTTTTTTTTTCTCTCCTTCGGCCTGCATGCCCCCCTGGCTCGGCCCCTCGGATTTTGGTATCTCTTGCCGGGCGCGCGCATGCGCACGTCGCCGTTTCCCGGACTCCTCCCGCCCCCCCTCTCTCTCTCTCTCTTGGGAGAGAGAAAAAGCGACGGAGGTCCTGCGTGCCGTGGCTTGCCGTCTGTAAGTCCGGCATGCGTGGCCTTCCCCCCCGCACGCGAGAGGGGCGCACAGGCTCAGGGCAAGACAAAGGCACGCGCGCGCGCGCATCCCGAGAGCAACCAACTGCGCGGGGCGAGAGAGGGCTGTGAAGATACACCCCCCCCACACTGGTGCCCCCCTTTTTTTTTTGTTGTTGCCGTTCTGACAGAGGTGTGGACCGGGGGAGTCTCTTGGCGCTCCCGGGTCCTTTTCCGGCCCAGGGCCAGTTCTTGAGGCGCTGGGATCACGGCCTTGTGTGCGCCTCATTTCCGAGTGTAAGAGTCACGGGGAGAAGGAGCCGAGGGCGCGGGGGAAGGCACACGAGAGTGCATGACCGCGCCGCACAAGGGTCGGGGAGAGGCAGGGCGCAGGGCAGCGCGGATTTGCCCGGGTTCCGAGGAGAAGGCGCCCAACCATCCCCGTGTGCGTATGATCCCCCGAAAAAGGGCGAGCAGGGCGCGGGGGAGCAGCAGGCCGAAGGGCACCCCCCTGGTTGCCCGCTGCACAACGCCGAGCGAGTCGTCACCCATTCGGACCCACGCGCACCCCTTCTTTCCCCCCCCCCCCCCCCCGGGGGGGCCTCCTTCACTTTGTCCTTTGTCTTGTGGGGAGGCCGGCCGCGCGTTTCCCGTGTGCGCGCATGGGGCCATCATGCAGCCATTGAAGGGCCCTCTCGGCCAGACATGGCCCCCTGGGTAGCACTCTCCATTCCCTCCCCTGGTGGCCATCCTCTTTCGCCCGGCGTTGTGCCACGCTTTCTTGACGCCCTGCCACATCGCCCCCCCCCCCCCCTTCGCATGTGCGAACGTGCGTTGTCTCCTCCTTGGGGGAAAGATAGCTGCGCGCATGGTAAGCGCATCCACGCACACGCACACACGCACGCACGCACGCACGCGCAATGCACATGTCCGGTGTAACGAAAGCCTGCGAAATGTTCCCTCGCGAATTGATCAACAGGAGGGGATGCACGCCGTGCAACGGGCGACTCTTCGCTCGCCCCAATCTGCACGCAGACACCCGGGGCGGACCGACACTTTTGGGGCTCTTGCGCGCCATGATGCGCGCCCCGGGAACGCCGCTCGTTTTCTCGTCGCTCCCCCTCCCCACAGTCCGAAGTTTGGGCGGCGTCCTGCAAAGGACAACGGCCATGTGGCGGCCCCGGAGCGAGATCTTTCGCCCCCTGCTGCCCCCCCCCCTGTGGGCGTGGGGGGCGGCCGGGCAATGCACATGGATGCGTCGTTTGGCGCGCCGGCGATCCCACTTGCATCCGCACACACAATATGACAGATGTATTTTTGTGCACCAGCATTCCACACAGGCTCCCCTTTGTCGGCTTGGCTTTTGGTTTCGGAATGCCCTTTTTCGTCCCGCCCGTGACTGCGTTGCCAATCGCGTGTACCACTCTTTGCTAGTGTGTGTGTGTGTGTGTGTGTGTGTGTGTGTGTGTGTGTGTGTGTGTGTGTGTGTGTTTGTGTGTGTGTGTGTGTGGATGTATGTGTGTGTGGATGTATGTGTGTGTGTGTGTGTGTGTGTGTGGATGTATGTGTGTCTGTGTGTGTATGTGGATTTGCAGTCACATGCAGCGCTGTATGCGGCCACATGTTGCCGCCTGTGAGATGAGGCACATCCGACCGCCGGTCGAGCCCCCCTCTGAAAGAGCCACTTGTGCGTTTGCACCGGCACCTCGGCAGGGGGAAGAAGAGAGGGGGCCGCCAATTGTGCCGCACAAGAGCGTCCCGATGTGTCAACCCGCACACAGTCAGCTCGGCGTGCTGGCCAGCCTTTAAAGGAGCAGCTTGGGGGAGGAAGAAAAGGGCGAACGAGGAGACACCCACTTTTCAAGCTGGCTTCCCCCACTCCCTCCGCCCTGTCTCGCCCCCTGGTCCTATCTCTCCCTGCTTTCGAGAGCGGCGCCGTGTGTCTTCCCGATCCCGAGTCCCCGAGAGCGCCCGTGTGTGGGCGAGGTCAATCGCGGCACGAAGGGAGGCGCAAGGGCCGCTCTCCCTCTCTCTCTCTCATGCCTGACAAGAGACGTGAACGGCGGAATATCGCCAGGCGCGTGCTTGCTCGGGCATATATCCAGCCTCCCTTTGTCGAAGTACCTCCTGTGTGAGGACGCCACCTACAAAACCCCCCTCGCGATGGCTTCCATCCGGCCCTCCCCCACGCGGGTCCTTTCCCCGGGCCGATACACACCCCGCGTGCGGGGATGGGAGGGAGGAGGAGGACGGGTCGCTGCGTCGTGCTGCACCTGTCCCAAATAGATTCTCGTCCGTCATGCTGCACGATTACGCGCCATCAGCTGGGGGCTGGGCGGGGGGAGGGACACCCTGCCCGGTTCCTGCGCCCCCCCAACTGCGCACGCGGGAGGCTCTCGATCGCGAAATGTGCCACTTCAGCCCTGCTCCACGGGGAGGTCCGCTGGAACCGCGCGCCGGCCGTAAAATTAAACGCCGGCAGTCGGGGGAGCCGGGCGAGCGGGCAAACGGGCGGGCGGACGGGCAGAGCGGGCAAGTGGCAAGAGGAGGGCGGGGGGGGGCACACACTTTGCCCCATCAAGAGGAGGGATGTCTATTGCTCATGCAAGGCGGGGGGGGGGGGGTCTAGGGGGAGGGACAAAAGAGGCCGCCCGGCCTCGGAAGGTCACAGGAGAGGCAGGGACGGCCGCCATCAGTCAGGGTGGCCGCGAGCGCCAGGCGTCACGGGGCTGGGAGAAGGACCCGGCCGACCGGAAGGCGGAGGAGTACTGCTGCGAAGAGCCGATGGGCCGCCGGCCGCCGGTGGACGCGGTGCTGGAGGCCGAGGCGGCCGTGTGTCCCCAGTTGCTCAGGGGCCGATGTGCCTGCCGCAGGGGAGGCGGGCCGCCGGGGGGGCCGGGACTGGGGCGCGGCCGCGGGGCCGTCCCCACCCCGGGAGGCTCCAGCCTGCCGCCGGTGCTGGCCATGACGGTAGCCACACACCCGGGGTCCGCGGCCCGGCCGGCCACCGACCGAACGCGCCGCCTCGCGGCCGCCGATTGCCGCATGGTCCCGGTGTCGAAGTCAAACTCGTTGTCCTCCTCGCCGTACAGGGCAAAGTCATCGTCCGAGTCCGAGGACAGGGAATCCTCCCCGGCGGCCGGAGGGCTGGGCGGGGCCTCGCGTCGGCGCTTCAGCACCTCCAGCATCTGGCGCTCGCGCTCCTCGCGCGTGCGCGGGGGGCGCCGCCGAGGCGAGCCCGCGCCCGGCGCCCCGGGCTCCGTCAGGTCGACAAGCTCCCCCTCGGCGGCGGCGGCGGCGGCGGCGGCAGTGGCCGTGGCCGAGGCCGCGGTCGCCAGTGGCCGTGTCGACAGGAGGGATCGCATGGGCCCGGCAGCGGTACCGGACCCGGGTGCCGGTCGCGGCGCCTCGGTCACGACCCCCCGCTGCTGCCGGCTGAAGGTCATCACCGGCATGTGGCCAAAGGAGGACGTGGGGGCCGGCTCGGCCGCCCGCTGCCGGCCGGCAGCAAGGCCGTCCTTGGTGTCGGCCTGCTCGCCGCGGCGCTGGCTCCCACGAAGGGCGCAGGTCGCGGCGAACGGGTCAAACCACGAGGGCGAAGCCATGGCCGGGATCCGGGCGCCGGACGAGAGGGCATCGCTTGCGGGGGCCAGGGCCCCGAAGGGACCCGGCGCCTGGCCAGCATGCGGCCCATGCGTGATGACCGGCCCCCCGGGGCGCGTGAAGTCCACCACCTGCGCACTACGGAAGCCAAAGGGACTGTCAGCACCGGCCCCGGGCCCGGGCTGCGAAGTGCCGAGCCGAGACGCCTGCCGGAAGCCGGTGGCCTGGCCACCGGCCGCGACGCCGCCCAGACTGCTTGCCCGGACGAAGGACCCGCCCGGGCCGGCGCCGGCGCCGGCGCTGGTGCCGCTGCCGCTGCTGGCGCTGGCGCTGCTGCTGCTGCTGCGGCCGAAGGCCGAGGAGGCGCTCTGGAACCCGGAGAAGGTCTCCCCCCCGGAGGGCTGGAGCCCCGGGTCGCCATGGCCATCGCCCGCATCCAGCAGCCCGGCCGCCAGGCCGAGGGCCCAGGCGTCGCGCGGGTCGGCCGCACCGGGGCCCTCGCCACCGGAGGCCGCCGGGGCCGAACGCTCCTCCCCAATGAAGGCCCCCAGGTCGGGCGCCAAGTACCCGGCACAGGAAGCGGCAAAGGCCCCCGGGGGAACCGGCCGCCGGAGAAGCCACCCAAGCCCATGCAAAATGGCCGGAGAGAGGGTCGGCGGGGTGCTTTGGCAAAAGGGCGTCCCAGATCGAGCCAACACCGCGTCCAGCTGGTTGCGACGGCTCAGGGACCGGTTCCGGAAGGCCGCCACATCCGGAAGCGGGCCCAGCCGGGAGGCACGTGGCCCGGAGGCAGCCGGCTCCGCCGGCGGCCCGGACTCCAACCCGGCGGGGCCCAGCTGCGCCAGGGCCTGCTGCATGAAGTGCGCGGATTTGAGCAGGTGCGACCCGCCGCACCCGGCCGCCGGGAAGTTCAGGTCCCGCAGGAACCGCGACATCGGCGGCCACTGCGACTCGCCACGCGAGCAATGGTACGAGGAGGAGGTCAAGTAAAGGCCGGCCTGCGCGCGCGTCATGCCCACATACAGCAGGCGCAGCTCCTCGCACAGGGAATCCTCGGCGGCTTCGACATCACCGCCGGTCGAGGCATTCACCGTCAGCCGGTGTGGAAGGAAGCCCTCCTCGACACCGGCGATGAAGACCACCGGCCACTCGAGGCCCTTGGCCGAGTGGAGAGAGCTCATGGCAACGGCCTGCGGGCGGGCGGGCGGGGGGGGGGGGGGGGGGGGGGGGGGGGGGGGGGGGGGGGGGGGGGGGGAACGAGCTGGTGAGGATGGGCCCGACAGTGGAGGGGAGCGAAGGTGACAGCGGCGGCGGTCGGGAACCAAACGAACGCACATTCAGGGCCTGGCCACGGCGCTGCTGGGCCTGGTGCTCGAGCTCCCAGCGGGCGAGCATGGCCGCCAGGGCCAGCTGGTCGGGCGACAGCTGCGACGCCGTGCGACAGACGCCCGGAAGGGAGGCGCCCGCATCGGGCCCGCTGCCAGAACACCAGCAAGACCCGGTGGCCGGCTGTGTGAAGCCAGCCCGGTCGCTGGCCGACTGGGAGAAGCAACCCCGCGCGGCCTGCCTATCGAAGCCCGAGGCCCAGGCAGTGATCTGCTTGTCGAGCTCCGCACGCCCTAGGGATGGCAAAGCCCCAGCCTGCATGGTCAGCGCGAGCCGGCGAGAGGCGGGCAGATGGCACACAGCACGCCGGCGCGCGGGGGCCCGGCAAATGATGCACCCCGCCCGGCAGGGCCCGCAGGCCACGCACCTCCACACTCGCTGGAGATCGGCTGGCCAGAGCGCGACAGGGCCGTGTCAACCAGGGAAAGCAGCCGCGCGCCCACCGACTGGCCGGTGGCCCCGACCGGGGGCGATGCTCGCAGCAGACCCGCCACCGCGTCCACCACATCCAGGAAGGGGTTGAGGCGCTCGCGCAGGGACCGGCGCTCAGCCAGCCAGCCAGCCAGGGCGGCCGGCGGGATGCCGGCTTTGCCGCCGATCGGCTCCGAGGGGGCGGCGGGCCGCTGGCCGGCCGAGGCACGGAGCACATCGAAGGCATTGCGCCCGACGGCAGGCGTGCCCTCGCCAGCCTGGGACCCCGGGGCCATGGGGGCGTCGGGGCCGGCCACGCCCACGGCCACGGCGACACCCACCCCCGGGGCCCGGTCGCACAGCACCCGCGCCGCATCCAGCATGTTGGCACCGGAGCCCGGGGCCGGCAGGGACCCAGCCAGGATGCGCAAGTCGTCCAACGCCGAGGGGCCGATCATCCTCGACGGCGAGTTGACCGACTGGCAGAAGGCAGCGTCTGCGGCGTGCGCGCGAGGGCGTTTTCGTGGGTGTCAGGAGGGGGGGGGGGGGATTTTCGAGGGCACCATGGCAGCCACGCAATCCATGCGATGCACGCCGTGCACAGCCGGCAGGGGGGAGGGGAGAAACACGCGCAAAGGGCCCGCGGGAGGGCGAGAGCAAGGGAGGGCACACGGAGGGGAGGAACAGTCATGGGTCAATGGGCGTGTGTTTCGGGCAAGACCGGCGGGAGGGGAGGCGGAGCGCGAACGACAAACGCACTGAGCCGAGCCCGGGGAAAGATGATCTCGGCCGCCGAGCGAAGCCCGGACTCCGCCAGAGCCAGGAACATGCCCACGGCCAGATACCCGTGGAGGACGCGCGCATCGGCCGACCCGAAGGCCGACCGGTCAACCCGGGTGTCGGAGCTCCGCGTGTGGGGGATGCCCAGGCGGCTGAGCGCCTGCTCGATCTCCTGGAACTGCCGGTTCTCGCGGACCAGCACGCACATGTCCGAGAAGCTGAGCAGCCCCTGGCTGGCCTCAATCAGCCGCTTAATCTCGCACCCGATGAAGGTGGCCTCGGTGCCGGGCGTGGACAGGCTACACACGGCCACCGGCGGCCCGAGCGAGGGACACAAGCCCCCCGGCAGGGGGGCCTGCGAGGCGAAGGCGCCCCGCCGGGGCAGAGCCTCCGCCGGCACGCTGCCAAAGGCCGAGCGCAAGTCGCGCTTCTTGCGCTCGGTGTCTGGCCCGCAGAGGATGCAGGGGGGGGGGGAGAGGGGGGGTTAGTGTCGGCGGCGAAGGACAATCGAAGCAGCCGGAGGAGGCACCAAGAGGATCACAGACAAGGCGCACCTTGCTCGATGACAACCCGCGAAGCGGCCACAATGCAGCCGCTGGAGCGGTAATTGGTGCCGAGCTCCACCGTTCGCAGGGCCGCCCCGTAGATGCGCCCCAGGCCGCGCGTCAGATGGTGGACATTGGCTTTGCGGAAGCCGTAGATCGACTGGTCCGGGTCGCCGACGATGGTCAAGGCCCCACGACGCCGGGCGGCCCCGCTTGAGGCAATCTCAATCTCCGGAGAGGCCTTCACCAGGCTGGAGGATGCCCCAGTGGGCGAAACCACGCGCGTGGTCTCGGCCCCTGCCAGGAGACAGGTCAGGGAAAATTGAATGTCACATGTATCTTGGAACTTCGGGCGACGGTTGCAGCGGGGGAAGGAGACACAGGGCCCAGGGTGGGAGAGGAGGAGGGGAGAGGGGGGGAGGGGGGGGGGGAGACTGTCAGCGAGCGGCAGGGCAAGCCCACAACCGAGCGGCACAAGGCAGGACACACCTCGTCAACCAGCACATGGCGAACGCCCTGCAAGACCTCCGGATGCTGCTTGAAGAGTCGCTCCCCGAGGATGAGCGAGTCTTCGAAGTCGATGACATTGGCTTCGCGACAGCGGGCAGCATATGCCCGGTACGCCTGGGAGAAGGTGGCGAACTCCTGGTCATACTTGGAGGCCGACAGGGAGAGATAGTCCTCCGGGCCGCGGGGGTGGCGCTTGACTTCGGTGATGAAGGCCGACAGTTGGTCCAGCGGCAGGCGCTGCCCAAGAGCCGAGCACACGTCCAGCATGTACCGTCTGGAGGTGTGCTCATCGATGAGGCGGAAGTTGGCCTGCAGCCCGACCAGCCGATGGTGCAGCCGCAGGAAGTGGTTACACACATTGTGGAAGGTGCCGATGATGATCCCCGGTGGGAAGGAGGCCCCGAGCAGGGCCCGCGTGCGGGACTTCAACTCCTCGGCAGCTGGCGCAGAGCCGGGCGTGTCAGATGGGGGCCAGGCATCTGCGGCGGCGAGCGAGGCGGGCAGGAGGAGGGGGGGGGGGGGGGGAAGCCCGGGGGGACGAGGCATTGCCGCGTCCAGAAAGCCCGATCAAAGGCAAACCCGGAGAGGAGGGCAGAAAAGCAAAGGGCCGGCGAGGAGGCCGAGCGACAGGGAGCAAAGATGGACCAAGCAACCTACCTTTCTTGGTGAAGGTCACCATCACCAGCGAGGCCGGCGGCAGTCGACACGCGGACAGCAAGTACGCCAGGCGGTGAGTGATGGTGCGTGTTTTGCCGGTGCCCGGGCCGGCGAGGATGATCAGCACGCCGTCCGGATTGGCCACCACCGCGGTGCGCTGCTCCTCATTCAGCGACCGCAGGAGGTACTCATGCTCCGGGGCCGGGGGCCGGTCGAGCGGCAACGGGGCAGCCGGCCCGGCAGCATCGGCCGGGGCCGGCGGACCGATCGCCGACGGGGCGACGCCGGCGGTTGCCTGCTCGGTCGCCCCACCGGCCGGCCCGGGACCCTGCGGCTTGGGCGCCAGGAAGGACGAAATCGGCCGAGTGCCTGGCGGGGCGGGCGTGGACGCCGGCCCCGGCCGCCGTCGGAGGCCGATCGGTCGCATTCTCAGAGCAGGGGGCACGGCCGCAGGTTCGAGCAGCGGAGACGGAGAGAGAGAGAGAGAGAAGGGGGGCAAGGAGGGCACAGAAACCGAAAGAGGGGGGAGGGGGGGGGGTCAGCGAGGAGAGAGTGTGGCTGCGGCGGGGTGCCCGTGAGCATCCCCGCCCTTTGCGCCCCCCCTGACAAACCGCCCGGCTGGCGATCTCCCTGGTGGACGAGGATGAGAAGTCTACATTGGCGAGGGGCGGGGGGGGCGTGACGAGTGGACTCCGGCCAGTTCCGTGCTCTGGCGCTGTGGTTTCCCGCGCAGCCCCATCCGGTGCTGTTGCTCCTCGCCCCGGCCGCGACGGACGGGGCGGGAGGGCCACAGGCGCCCGGCCTTCTGCCAGGGGGGCTGCCGGCGTGTGGCCCGGGTGCGCTCGCCAGGCGGCACTTCGTTGGGACTTGGCGCCACTGGACCCAAGTCACATGGACATGCTCGATTGTGGGGGGAGAGAGAGAGAGGTGTATTTCCGGCCCAAGCTCCGGGCTGAGGGCCGTCCCGTGGCTTTGCGGACATTGTGGGGTGGCATTGCCCGCCTCCTGGGGGACTTCGGTCACCGATCGGCGATCAGGCGCCGGGCGGCCTTGATTTCAGAGCGACGCTTCTTCCCTCTCAGCCGGCGCTCGTTGTCGACTTGGGCACTGGGGGGAGGGGCATGGAACAAAATTGGACCATCCGCCAAAGGGGGAGGGGATGGGCGAAAGGAAAGACGGCGGGGGGGGGGGGGAGGGCGGCCATATCCTCCACCCGGTAGAAGACGGGAGCGAGACAGAGAAGCAGGCGAAAGTGGCC